CCACTCTCCCTGCTTGTGTTCCCTCTCACTCTCTCTCTGTCAAATAAATAAATAAATCTTTAAAAATAAATAAATAAATTGGCAAAGTCATCTTACTGGAAAATGTGTATTTATTCTGCTATTTTGATTAGGAAGGGATAGTTTCCATGTAGTGTGCTTTTACTCTAAGAATTATTTTCTTGAAGACTACAAAAAGATCTTTATCCATGATGTCTTCCTGTTTTTAAAACCCTTCACAAGGCTCCCTTTCCTCCAAACCCTTCCTGATGCAGATTATAAAAACATTTATAAATAATGAGGAAGTAACAATTATATTTACACAGTAAGAGAAAAAATCAAAATCATTTAAAAGATATATTCTAAGAAAGTTATATATAGATAACACTTTAAAAAGAAAATTAGGGCGCCTGGGTGGCTCAGTTGGTTAAGCGACTGCCTTCGGCTCAGGTCATGATCCTGGAGTCCCGGGATTAAGTCCCGCATCAGGCTCCCCACTCAGCGGGGAGTCTGCTTCTCCCTCTGACCCTCTCCCCTCTCATGCTCTCTCTCTATCTCATTCTCTCTCTCAAATAAATAAATAAAATCTTTAAAAAAAAGAAAAAGAAAATTATACTTTAAAAATGTATCAAGGGAGCTTGCTCTTTAAAGTTATTTTCATGTAAATGGTTTTATAAAACAAAGAATAATTTCATATAAATGACTATTCTTTTCCTGTATTTTGTTATACAGTGTTTGTTTGAATTGAATTATGCCTTCACAAGCAGTAAAGTTTTCTAAGCATCTCCTTCTTTTAAAGGAAATACAAAAAGAATTTGGAGCCTAAGTACATTTTATATAAAGTCCTAAACATTTTACACATAATTGCAACAGAATGCCAATGTTCAATCTGCCATTATCTTGATGACTTTGAAACAGAGTGCCTGTGACCCTTTGTTATAATTTTGCTTTGTAATCTAATGCCATTAGCCAGGTCATCTCTAACAGGGATCCTCTGAATTGATTAATAGCATCTCATTCAACGAGTTGTTCAATCTAAAAATATTGGTGTCATCTTTAAATCCT